TATACATATACATATACATATACATATACATATACATATACATATACATATACATATACATATACATATACATATACATATACATATACATATACCCTTATAGGGTATGCATACGTATATCAAATAACGTCTCTTTTTGGGATATCTAGAATGCGAGCAGTTATCAGTTAAGATTTTAGCCAGTTTTCGTTGCATTCTATTGAGGCTGGCCTCATATTCCTGTTTTGGTTGGTACGTCAACAACTTGTTTCGCCAGTTGGATGTACACATGTACAAACACACACACACACACACACACACACACACACACACACACACATACATACTTATGTATGTGTACAAGTACATACATACATGCATGCATATCTTGGCTTGGATGTGCATGCATGCATATGTAAAGTAAGTACATACATACATACATATACATATGCATATTTACATATACTTTGTGTACGCACTCTAACAAAGAAACTTAAAACTAATAACTACGCATTCCAAATAACACATTCTGACCCACATACATACATATATACACCCACACACAGATACGCACACCTACATACATAGCAATACACATGTGTATGTACGTAGTATGTATGTACACGTAAACATTTGTATGGGTAAATGCGCATCACGGAATGTAACAACAAAATCTGTAAGATGTTTAGAACAAGCGCAACAAAAGAAGGCAGAGATGAAACCCAAAAAAGTACAATGAACCTTCTTCAAACTTCACTGTCTTGGGAGCGACGCTGGCAGCGAGCGCAACGCACAGCGGCTATGCTACAAGCTGCCCCCTCATAAAGTATGTACATACATACATACATACATGCATACATATACTCAAAATTGTACATATACAGAAAAACGCACAACAAAGTAAAATGCAAGAGGAATTGTAAAAACAAACAATTTGCTGTTTTTGTTTTTGTTGCTGTTGCTGTTGCTGTTGCTGCTGCTGCTGCTGCTGTCGCTGTTGTTTGGGGCTGCAAGTTTGCTGCTGCTCTCGCAGAGCGTTGCGACGCTGGCAGCGCTGCCGCTATGACGAGCCCATGCATATCAAAACAAGTTCCGTTCCACACAAATGCCAGCACGTTTCGAAATTGCCGACGACGACAACGACAACGACGCATCATAACAATAACAAAAGCCCAGCCAAGAAAACATTTTGGAAAACGAAACAGTGCATAAAAAGCGGCTGCAGCGCGCCAGCAGCAGCAACAATAACAACAAAAAACAATAGCTTACAACTGTTGACGCTGCGAACGCAGCATAAAGAAGCTGCTGCTGCCGCTGTTGCTATTGCTGCTGCAGTCGCAGTCGCAGTCGCAGTTGATATTGGCTTTGCAGACGTAGCGGCTCAACATAAACATAACATCTTAGGGTGGCTCAAACATTATTTTCAAATTTTTGAATACTTACAAATTTCTCATTAGAAGTGAAAATTATTTATTGTAAAAAAAAAAAATAATACAAATACAATATTTGAGTTTTCTTACAAAATACATACATATACTTTCAGAGTAGTTTTATTTTTATATGCAAGTATAGCGGCTTTAAAACAATTCGAAGTGCCATACAAGTGCCGTAATTGTAACCCAATTCCCAATTAGCAAACCCAACAACAGCTGCTAAGTGCCTACCGACTTGGTATTATCAGTTCGCCTTAAAGTTCATTACAAAATAAACTATTCGCTCATATTTCGAGCACATTTGGTCTAATACCCCGCTGCGGTGCCACCCTAATGTTCTTGCTGCCGCTATTTACAAATACATAGTTCTGGCGTCGCTGCCGCTGCCGCTGCTTCTGCCTCAGCCACGGCCACTGCCGCTGTTGTTGTTGTTCTTTCTTCTTCCTGTTTCTCGCTCACACAAACACAAAGCACACATATTTTAACGGCATCACGTCACGTGCGCTCGCGCTTACGCTCTTCGCTCTCGCGTACTCAGTGACTGCACTGTGCGTTTGCCTTTGTTGTTTTTGCGAATGCTTCGGCTTCTGCTGCTGCTGTTGGCGCAACGCTTGCGACTGCGACTGCGACTGCGACTGCGACTGCGACGGCAACCGTGCCAAAGTAAAAGCCAGCAACTGGCCAGCATTTAGTTTGCTTTTGCTTGTGTCATTGCAGTGTGTGCGGGTAGGAGCTGAAGCTGAGTAACAGAGCGAGCGATCAAAAATAATTCAAAATACAAAACAACACACTAAACCAGCAGCTAGCTAAAAGAACCTTTGTTAATTTTTGCAAATTTATCGCATATTTTTTTCAAGTGTATCTATAAGATAGTTTCAACTGTGCAAGTGTATGTGTGTGTGTGTAAAAGAAAGCAACAATAACAACAAACAAAAATTGTTCATAATATCAATGGTAAATACAAAACAACAAATGCATACACATATACGCACATATATATGTAAATACATACATACATCCGTACATTTTCGACATTTATATGTATGTACATACATATACATATATATAACTTTGCTACACATATACGTGTTTGTGTTTGTGTGTGTCAGTGGAAAAGTAATTTCGGTTCAAAGTGCAGGGCGCAACGATGTCGATTTTGGCTGCTGCTGCGGACCAGTTCGTCAGCTTTTGGCTTTGTTTTTAGCATGTGCCCTTTCATAGCGCAATACATTCAAACGTGCTCATAGAATACATATATACTTATATATGTACATACATACATGCGTGTGTGTTTAGTTAGTTTACTTGACGGGGTGGGGCGGGGCGCTACCTGCATGCACAGCAGACCCATTTTGTACATCGCGCGTGTGCTTTTCTCATACATACAAATTTGCGCTTCACTAAAAAACACACACACATACAGCATGCACACGCATGCATACATATAGAAGAAAAAAAAAAACAGTACAAGCACGCGCAAGCTCCATGAAACGCTCTCTTTCTCTTCCTCTTTCGCTCTCCGTCTGGCTCTCTTCACCTAGTAATCTTTCTCTCTCGCTGGGGTTCTCTCTCCAGTCCGTTGGCGCTGTTGGCAGTTTGTCAACGTTGGCGTTGCCGCCTGTCGTTTTCATTATACGTTGTTTAGCCGTGCCGTGCGCGTCGTCGTCGCAGCAAGCAGCAGACGACGTCAGTCCGTTGCGTCAGTAATAACAATCTATTTTTTTCTAATTCCATTTTGGCAACAAGATTAAAAAAAAAAAAAAATAATAATAATAATAACGTAGGTGCACAAAATACGAATTACAAAATCCCAATTTGAAAATACGTATACTAAGTGTATATAAAAAATTAGAAATAAAAATAAAGTAAAAAACCAAACAGAGATTTTCGAATTCGTGGTTTAGCTTTTTTCGCTTTTCTCGTGTGTGTGAGTGTGTGTAAGCTTTTTTCTCGTGCCCATACCACAAAGCGCGTGCCTTGGCTCATGCAGCTGTCGTCTTTGTCGCAGTATGTGCGTGTGTGTGTGCTATATTGTTTTTAATAAATTGTATAAGCATGACAAAACTCAATGGTGTAAATTAAACATACATACGTATGTATGTAACGGCCACAACATTAGCAAAGCAGCGCTGCCAACGTCGGCACAATTCTGACATTGACTTCAACCAGTTCTCTTTCAATCGCGCGCTCTTTCTCCTTCCCTCTCTTTCTGGCAATGTCCTTTATCCGACTCCCACACCCACACACGCATACACAAACATCGCTCTCGCGCCTTACTCTCTCGGTCGCTAGACAATCGCTTTGCTATTTTTATATGCAGTAGCATCAGCAGCGGCACCGAAAGCAAAAACATCAACTGCAAAAGCAACTCTTCATGCTCTCTCATGCACACTGCCAACACAATTATTTTTTGTATTTTATTTATTTACTAAAGAGTCTATATTGCATTATTTTTAGTCTGTAAATATTTGTTCTTGCATAAATAGTTTTTATGTGCAT